AGAATCTTGGCGAGAGTCTTTGCATATTTACCTTCTTTCATTTCCCAGATTCTGGACTTGATCTACTGAATGGTTTTGATTTTTATTTTGATCTATGTTGAATGGCGTGACACTGAAAACCAGCACTTTTCAACAGGTTTGATGAAATTAATAACATTAAAATCAAAAGTCAACTTGCACTTAGAATTTGTTCTATCTGCAGCATTCAGTTAATTTGTGTCATACCTTTTTTCGAGCTAAAAACAATAACTTCTTATATTCATGATTAGGTGCCTCAAGGGCTATCCTAACAAGATCCATGACTCCATGCTGTGCGCAGGGCTGGATCAGGGGGGAGTTGATGTTTGTCAAGGTGACAGTGGTGGTCCACTGGTCTGTGAATACAACGGTCAGTGGTTCCTTGAAGGAGCCACCAGCTGGGGCCATGAATGCGCTGGTCCTATGAAATATGGAGTGTACGCCAAAGTACGCTACGTTAAAAGTTGGATTAATCAGACTATGAAAAGCAACTAACTGAGAATTTCTCCGGTTTCGGTGTGATGTTTATTCAAATAAAACTTACCGAAACATAGTACGAGTGTGTGGCTTTTATTCCGTTGTTGTGCCGTAACTTTCATTAACAATAGGACCAGGGTCCGTGCTGATGGTAATTCATTGTTTCCGCGAATATAGGCACTAGTTAGGATAGCCTTGGCAAGAAAGCGAAATGTGCGAAAAGATTACACGTCGCGAAAGACGAGGTCTTCACCTTCACCTAACTCCTTGCGCAAGAGTGGCGCATAAGGCCTCACCATAGGGGAGGTGAGAGGGTAAAAATATTAGATATAGCTTACAAGCACGCGTAAATTGAGGAAAGAGGCAGATAACCTGAGTAAATGCGCATATATAGGCAAGGGAGGTCAATATGAACTTAACAGTAATCAAGCTCTACTTATTGGGAAGATAGGAGCACGATAACTTTGAGCGCAAGCGAGTGTCCTGGACATTTTCACAATGACAATAGCGACTTGTTCTTCTTTTTTAAATCGTTAAACTATGTTTAAATGCTGTTGTTTTTAGTGGTCGATGTACTTAGCTACACCCAGCTAGTTTACAGGCATGCCATGCACTTAAACTGCAAGAAACAAATATATCAACTAAGCATGACAGTCTTTCAAATCCCAACTGGCAGGAGGCAAACTGTTGGCTATTTACAAGCATGACCGAGGAGTTGATCCAGGGTCTCCCGAGAAAGAACTGCATCATTTGTAATTTATTCTATTTGTTATTTTTTATATCAATAGCCAAAAAGAATAAAAAAAAGAGAGCAGTAGTTTGCTTTAGGTTAACAGGTCACCAGGGGCCTTTTCTTTGCTGGATTAAAAGAAACTGTACTCAGTTACTGACATAGGTACCAAGCCGGCGGTTGCTTGTGGATTTGAACATTAGTTGGCATTATTTGACATGCACAACATTATTCAGGGTCATGTGGCTACAACGGCTTAAGGTATAGATGCAAGATAGCCGGCGGATAATAATCGCCAAGAATACATCCGCTGTTTGGCACTTTTAAACTTTCCCCAAGATTGTCAAAAAGCGATAAAGCACAAAGGGGTTGCATTCAAGAATAGCCAAATGTTAGGTCTGGATATAATGAATTCGTGTTTGACTTTCATGTAAAGGAATACATTTCTGCTCGGTTACACCAAGGTGATATTGAAAATATCTGGATGGGCTTGCGGCATCAGGCAGCATTTTCAAGTTTTTCACTATACGGACCTCCCAGCCGGCAAATAACATGTATTTCCAAGAGCCCGAGCTGGATATGAGATGATAGATAGATAGCCAACGAGGCGCGTAACGCCCAGTTGGCTATAATCATATCCACCATGCCCGAATGGAATAATTGTTGTATTAAAAACACCTCCAAAAATATTGAAAACTGAAACCAATGTAACTTGATTGCTGTATCATAACATTATTATAGGATCACGATAATCGATACTGTTTTAGTTTTAGTTTTATTTTACAAGAGCTTTTGCAACACTGTATGACTGTATTTATGGTCATGCAAATAAAGCTAGTTGTTCTTTTGAAATCAAATGAAACTAAAACAAAAAAAAACGCGTGCGCTTACCATATTTGAAGAGCACGGTATAATTGCTGATACCATGATGGCTAAGCCAATGAAATCTCTTAAATTGCATAATCAATTTCCTAGTTTTTAATAATCAATGTTATTTTCAAATCCAATGATTAAGTTTATAACAATCGGTGATTCTCTTTTTGCTGCTTTATACGTAAGTGTGAAACAGAGAGTTGATGACGTCTGAGAAAAACACAGACATATTAGTAACATCCTTTGAGCGTCTTAAACAACTTTTTTTATATAGTTACAAGCATGTCTCATTCTTCGTCTTAGTAGATATCTCTTTATCCTCAGTTTTTGAAGCACGAGTTTTATATCGCTTCGACTTCTTGCTCATCATTGAGGTGAATTGACGATGGATCTTGCTGTTCAAGCTAATGTACAACCATGGGTTAATGGCGCTGTTGTTGTAGCCAAACCAATAGCAGACTGTCTGGACAATTGGTAAATCTTTGGTTGTTACTGCTAAGTACAGCTGAGACACCTGCCCGGGAAGCCAACAGAAAGCAAACGCTGTGAAAACGATGATGAGCATTCGGACAACCNAACAAACTGCCGTGCGCCTGGTTAGTTTAGACTGAGGCAGTTGCTCGTTGCTGCTCCTTAAATCACTCTGACTCGGTCCTGCTTTCATTTCAGTTCCACCACTGTTTCCATTTCTTTTACTCTTGGAAATACGAAGTCCATTTGTTCGGCCAAAGTATGATTTCAAGCCTCGCCATCCAGTTACGGCAGACTTTTTCATTACAGATAAAAAGTCTTTAGGGTGACTTTGATTCATGGCTCTTCCCGCGTTTCGGATTCGTTCACTTCAAGATCTCGAAATAGTGGTTGTGGTCTGAACGGCTCCTTGGGAATAACCTGGCAAATCTTCGTCAGAACTTCGTTTCAAGCTACAAGTCTCCGACTGTTGCTGTCCAATCGAGCAACGGCCCGAGCACTCGAAAGTACTCCGAGCGATGTTACGTCACCACGGTACGATCAGCTGCTTAGCAACGAAAAGACGAAGTCTGCGGGCTTCAAATCAATGGTGTCACTGAACGTGATTCAGAGAAACCCTGACTCAAAAAAACGTGACTGCGTAAAACGTGATTACTGGAAAACTACAGATAACGACATGTGAAAAATTAGCATACGACCACGCGGAATGAATGGGCAGAGTCATTGTTCTGCTCAACGTTGTTGTTGCCGTTGCAATCCCGTACTTAGACCCCACGCGGTTTCAGTCAGCGTTTACCGAAGAGTAGCACTGGAGACGAGAATGGCCTCTGTCGAGTTTACGTTTCCGGGTTTACCGTCGTAGCGAATGCTTGCTAGTTATATGATTAATCGGAACACTTCGGATACTACCGAAAATTTGCTGAAAATAGCATTTGTTCCCAGGCAGAAAAAAATATACTCCATAAGTAGCTAGCGAGTTATCGTAGAAATTTCAACCAATAAAAGATCGTATTATGATATTAGTGGAAGAATGAAATGGTAAATAGTGGCCTGAGATATGACTCACGTTTGGACTAGACTGCTGGCAGTTAATCTTTCCTCTTAGGGTCTAACGAGTGTTTATCAAGGATTACGTACGCAAAAGAGCGGTATGGATGAGAAGGGATTGGAGCCTGCCGCGCCCATGTCTCGTCCCAGTCTCTTTTAGAATAAAACATCTCATAATCCCCACTGAATTTCAAGAGAAACTCAGACTACCAGCAGTCTACGTTTGGACTCCCGAACGTGACTTGAATAATGAACAATTTATGCCAGTTCAATAATTTGAAATCGTTTTGTTCTAATTAACGCAATAGGTAAGGTTATAGGACTTTGCGAAACAGCGCATGGGAAAAGTATTATGTAAGAATATTTCCTCTCTCTTTACCATTTGAAATAGCGGGAAACAGTGAGCTATATAACTCGCTGAAATCGCTTTGAAATGACCTAACAAGAGTGGCCTAAACATCCAATACTCAATAGTAGCGATGAAAGGTGTTTTTACTGTATTTCCGTTCCGTATTCCTATCTACGAGATACGCTGGTTTTTTTTTTCCAAACAAACTCTTGTATTTACGTTCGTTCAGGCAGTGAATTTGGATACCTGTGATTAAGTTTAAAAATGTAGAGTAAGTCCGACTCGTCTAGAGTGAAAATTGTTCCCCAAAGGCCCTCTTTTGTTCGTTTTCAAGCGTTTGCTGAATAGAGAGCTTGTGTGCAGAAAAGGCAAACAGAGGGAGTTTTATTTTCATTCGATCTGCTTTAAATCGAGGCACTTAAACTCTAAATAAACTGCAACAGATATCATACAATGAAACTGATTTATTGATTTAAGAAAATGATGAAAATAGTGTATTTACATTGATTACAAGGTAGCGGAGAACAAACGTGCTAGACTAACTTAGGAGCAACAAGTCGACGACCAACACATGGTAAACCTTTTGAGACAATCGCGATTACAGAATTGTTCTACCGAGAATTCAAGCTGAAACTATGGTCTTCAAGACAACATTTAAGTTCAGTTCATTTCAATCAGTTTTCAGTTCAGTTCTATGTGAGGTGACGGCGACTTCCTCACAACATTCCGACATCTATCAAGAGACACCGAACAATCAGCTCTCTTCTCAACTCTGCCAGTGAAATTCCATGGCGCTTGTCATTTTCTTCTATCACAGAACAAACCGCTGTTCGCCTGGTTAGTTTAAACTGAGGCAGTTGCTCGTTGCTGCTCCTTAATTCACTCTGACTCGGTCCTGCTCTCATTTCAGTTCCACCACTGATTCCGTTTCTTTTACTCTTGGAAATACGAAGTCCATTTGCCGGGCCAAAATATGATTCTGAGCCTCGCCATCCAGACACGGCAGACTTTTTCATATGAGAAAAATCATTTCTAGGTTGGATTCGGTTCATAACTCTCCTCGTCTTTTGGTCCATTCTACTTCAGTGTCACGAGAGTTGTGATTGAGCAGAGTGTTCGAAAAATGGCAATCGGGGAACAATAAACAGCATTTTATGGGAAATTTTCGTTGCGGGTCGATGTTTCGAGCGATGTTACGTCACCAAAGTAAGATCAGTTGCTTAGCAACATAAAGACCTAGACTGCGGGCTTCCAATTAAAGGTGTCACTGAACGTGATCTAGAGAAACCCTTAGTCAATAAAACGTGACTGCGTAAAACGTGAGTACTGAAAAACAACAGATAACGACATGTGAGCAATTAATATGCGACCATGCAGAATGAGTGTGCAGGGTCACTGTTCTGCTCAATGTCGTTGTTTCCGTTGCGATGTCGTACTTAGACTCCGCGCAGTTTCAATCAGCGGTGGCCGAAAGTTCAAAAACTGGAAGCGGAAAATCCTGGTTTCGGTTTGATTGTGCCCACGCGTTCAAGTTAAGTTACGGTTTCTGAACATGCGTAGAAAGTGTAACCACTTGTGACTAACCCTGGCTCACCTTCCAATTTCTCCCAGAGGTCTCGATTTCTTGGTGCTGACTAAAAAGATCGCAGGCTTTTGGAGCGAGATTGTTTCCGTTGCCGTCGAATTTTGCATAACGTTCCAAATGCTTATTGGGTTCGACTCTGGCACGAAACCTCAGGCGAAAAAGTATTTTGCGGCAAGACTAATCATTCATACAAATTTTTGCTCCGAATGGGTTCTTGGTTTTGTGATAGACTACGCTTGAATTTCTAGGCTTTTGCGTGACGCGGCATTTACGTGACGGCCGAGAGAGCTGTCGTGTTGGTTAAAAATGTGACTTAATTCGGGTAATTTGGCTATCTGAACAGTTCTTGTATTAGAAAAAGTATGGGCACCAGCATGGCGTCTCCATACAAATCTCTGTAAATTTGGGTAAAAAATTTCTCCGCATATCTTGCATAAGAAAAATTGCTGTGACCAGAATATTGGCGAGAGTCTTTGCATATTTACCTTCTTTCATTTCCCAGATTCTGGACTTGATCTACTGAATGGTTTTGATTTTTATTTTGATCTATGTTGAATGGCGTGACACTGAAAACCAGCACTTTTCAACAGGTTTGATGAAATTAATAACATTAAAATCAAAAGTCAACTTGCACTTAGAATTTGTTCTATCTGCAGCATTCAGTTAATTTGTGTCATACCTTTTTTCGAGCTAAAAACAATAACTTCTTATATTCATGATTAGGTGCCTCAAGGGCTATCCTAACAAGATCCATGACTCCATGCTGTGCGCAGGGCTGGATCAGGGGGGAGTTGATGTTTGTCAAGGTGACAGTGGTGGTCCACTGGTCTGTGAATACAACGGTCAGTGGTTCCTTGAAGGAGCCACCAGCTGGGGCCATGAATGCGCTGGTCCTATGAAATATGGAGTGTACGCCAAAGTACGCTACGTTAAAAGTTGGATTAATCAGACTATGAAAAGCAACTAACTGAGAATTTCTCCGGTTTCGGTGTGATGTTTATTCAAATAAAACTTACCGAAACATAGTACGAGTGTGTGGCTTTTATTCCGTTGTTGTGCCGTAACTTTCATTAACAATAGGACCAGGGTCCGTGCTGATGGTAATTCATTGTTTCCGCGAATATAGGCACTAGTTAGGATAGCCTTGGCAAGAAAGCGAAATGTGCGAAAAGATTACACGTCGCGAAAGACGAGGTCTTCACCTTCACCTAACTCCTTGCGCAAGAGTGGCGCATAAGGCCTCACCATAGGGGAGGTGAGAGGGTAAAAATATTAGATATAGCTTACAAGCACGCGTAAATTGAGGAAAGAGGCAGATAACCTGAGTAAATGCGCATATATAGGCAAGGGAGGTCAATATGAACTTAACAGTAATCAAGCTCTACTTATTGGGAAGATAGGAGCACGATAACTTTGAGCGCAAGCGAGTGTCCTGGACATTTTCACAATGACAATAGCGACTTGTTCTTCTTTTTTAAATCGTTAAACTATGTTTAAATGCTGTTGTTTTTAGTGGTCGATGTACTTAGCTACACCCAGCTAGTTTACAGGCATGCCATGCACTTAAACTGCAAGAAACAAATATATCAACTAAGCATGACAGTCTTTCAAATCCCAACTGGCAGGAGGCAAACTGTTGGCTATTTACAAGCATGACCGAGGAGTTGATCCAGGGTCTCCCGAGAAAGAACTGCATCATTTGTAATTTATTCTATTTGTTATTTTTTATATCAATAGCCAAAAAGAATAAAAAAAAGAGAGCAGTAGTTTGCTTTAGGTTAACAGGTCACCAGGGGCCTTTTCTTTGCTGGATTAAAAGAAACTGTACTCAGTTACTGACATAGGTACCAAGCCGGCGGTTGCTTGTGGATTTGAACATTAGTTGGCATTATTTGACATGCACAACATTATTCAGGGTCATGTGGCTACAACGGCTTAAGGTATAGATGCAAGATAGCCGGCGGATAATAATCGCCAAGAATACATCCGCTGTTTGGCACTTTTAAACTTTCCCCAAGATTGTCAAAAAGCGATAAAGCACAAAGGGGTTGCATTCAAGAATAGCCAAATGTTAGGTCTGGATATAATGAATTCGTGTTTGACTTTCATGTAAAGGAATACATTTCTGCTCGGTTACACCAAGGTGATATTGAAAATATCTGGATGGGCTTGCGGCATCAGGCAGCATTTTCAAGTTTTTCACTATACGGACCTCCCAGCCGGCAAATAACATGTATTTCCAAGAGCCCGAGCTGGATATGAGATGATAGATAGATAGCCAACGAGGCGCGTAACGCCCAGTTGGCTATAATCATATCCACCATGCCCGAATGGAATAATTGTTGTATTAAAAACACCTCCAAAAATATTGAAAACTGAAACCAATGTAACTTGATTGCTGTATCATAACATTATTATAGGATCACGATAATCGATACTGTTTTAGTTTTAGTTTTATTTTACAAGAGCTTTTGCAACACTGTATGACTGTATTTATGGTCATGCAAATAAAGCTAGTTGTTCTTTTGAAATCAAATGAAACTAAAACAAAAAAAAACGCGTGCGCTTACCATATTTGAAGAGCACGGTATAATTGCTGATACCATGATGGCTAAGCCAATGAAATCTCTTAAATTGCATAATCAATTTCCTAGTTTTTAATAATCAATGTTATTTTCAAATCCAATGATTAAGTTTATAACAATCGGTGATTCTCTTTTTGCTGCTTTATACGTAAGTGTGAAACAGAGAGTTGATGACGTCTGAGAAAAACACAGACATATTAGTAACATCCTTTGAGCGTCTTAAACAACTTTTTTTATATAGTTACAAGCATGTCTCATTCTTCGTCTTAGTAGATATCTCTTTATCCTCAGTTTTTGAAGCACGAGTTTTATATCGCTTCGACTTCTTGCTCATCATTGAGGTGAATTGACGATGGATCTTGCTGTTCAAGCTAATGTACAACCATGGGTTAATGGCGCTGTTGTTGTAGCCAAACCAATAGCAGACTGTCTGGACAATTGGTAAATCTTTGGTTGTTACTGCTAAGTACAGCTGAGACACCTGCCCGGGAAGCCAACAGAAAGCAAACGCTGTGAAAACGATGATGAGCATTCGGACAACCCTTCTCTTGGTCTGTTGCTGTCGTTGGTGATTTCGAATGAGACCATCTCCTGGTGTCTTGTGGGACCACAACTTACGAGCAGTAATGGCGTAGAGGACGGAAATGATACTTACAGGCAGCAAATAGTTGATGACGAAAAAGTAAATGTAAACCCCACGAATGACTTTCGATGTTTCTCCCAAAATGGAAAACTTTGCTTTGCACATATATTCCGACTTTTTAGAATCCCATTCCAAAACTATAAAAACCGGAACGATAGACATCAACGCCATTGACAAGAGCCAGACGACTGGTGTAAGGACTTTGGGTTTTCGGAACCAAAGAAGGCGTCGGAATGGATAAACCACTGCATAAAATCTGTCAACCGCCATAAATGTCAGGCAAAGAATGGACGTGCTTATTGTGAAGAAAGCGATGTATATTACCGCTCTACACGTGATTTCTCCAATGACACCGGTCAGTGGCCACACGCCGTCCATATAAAAACCGGAAATAGTGTAAGGTATCACAACCAAGGTGACCAGTAAATCCGCCACAGCATTATTGACAAACATGAAACTGGTCAGGGATCTTGCCTCCGGTTTCTTCCACACGATGTAGATTAGAAGAATGTTTCCAGACAGGGAAGCAATCATGGTGATGACGTATATGACGGTAAATATGATTGTTGCGGGGGATTCCATCTTTTATTTTGTGTTAAGTTTTCCTGGTGATAGAAAAATAAAAAGAAGGCGTCAATACACTCTTTTTCTCATGTGAATATTGTTTTTCCCGCCCAGACTGAGTATTCTTATTTTTGTTAATTTTAGGCTAAAAATATGCTTGAGAATATTCTTCAATTCGGTTAAAGGGATACAAAGTGAATTGTGTAGACTCGACGTCGGATTATCCGTCCTATCATGATTTTTATGGCGTTGAAGTAGTTTTGGAGCTAAACTGCAGGCAGTAAAGCTTGATATGACACACGTAACTTCTTGCGGAAATGGTATAAGCATTGAGCATTTAACTTTCGCCGAGTTTGTTGTTTTTTGGCTAGTTTTGCCGTTTAGAGAAAAGACGATTTTTATGCGGGTTAGTTAAAAACGGATAAGTGTATTATATTTACAAAGTTTCGACACCAAAAATTATATTCTTTTCAAAACCTCAGCCTTAGGTTTATTTTTAAAATATTCTTAAAATTTCGTAAATTTCAGCCTCGATATTCTTATAAAATGTGTTCTAATAAAGAAAAAAAAAAAGAGTATACTATGGAATTGTTGCACGACGACACTAATTCGGCTGCGCAAGAGACTAGACTACTCGAGTCAATACACGGGCTTGGCAAGTTGTAGGTTTGACTTATACAACGTAGGCATTTTTTAAAGTTCTCCGCCTAAGCTTTTTACAAGCGACAATCTTGACCGTCTAAATTGCCTTGCATCAAATAAGAGGTAACATTACAAGGCATTACATTGACGGCCGCATACATTTAATGAAGGTTCATAGTGAATCACTTTGGTTCATGTTTCTTTGCCCTTGCTACGTTTGGCGTTTCTTTCTTTCGATTGCCAGCGAGATAATAAACTTTATTAAATTCAAGTTTCTCAAACCAGGCTAAAAATATCATGCAGACGGTCAAACGGATTAAAACGTAATTGGATTGAAATTTCAGTCGGGGTTATGAAGATATTGAGGTTTGACCCCGAGCCCAAATTCATCATGTAATCGCGGAAAAATTCCAGCCATCTAACTGAGCTGAGATTCCCAGCCTTGAAGAGGTCGAAGACAATCAAGTCAACAGGACGCACCAGCTAGTTTGCGGGTGCGCCAAGAAAACAAAATAGCAAAGTAAAAATGTACATTTGCAAAACAAAAAATATTAACTAAACTAAGATTATCTAACTACTGTAAAATATCTAAAACTGTATAAAAATGTAAAAAATTTAGATAAATTGTACAGATAAAAACGAAATTTTCAGATTCTTGGATTGTGTACCTCAAAAATAAACTGTGAAACGAGAGAAACTATATTGAAGGTAATGCATGCGGCAAAAATGAGCAAAAGTGAGGTGGAGAATCTAGCCTGAAATCTTTTGACCCACAGTTGTGGTTTTGGTTGTTGCGAAGACTTTCTGAAAAGTCCTTCGTCTTGTTTATTCAGTACCCTGAAATTCATGAGGTCGACTTGTGGCAAGTCTAGTTGTTGCGTTGGGGTTGTTCGATTTGTTTTTCTTTCTCCCTTTGTTTTTCTCTTTCACATTAACTGTTTAAGACCCATCTTTTGCCACACTCAGCGCTGGACAGTCTGTCAGTAGAATCGATTATCGGTCGACCGGGAGGAAATCGACGCTAGGAACAGTCTATTTTTTTTTTAAGTTTGTGACTGGCGATCTGTGAATGTCACGGACAGCATGTTAGAGAGCTCATTCAAAATACGGACACGTTGATCCTTTAAATCTAAATATTCGCCCGAGGTAAGATCTTTCAGAATCCGTAACCAACAAATGGAAGGTGACCCTTCTGGGCTGCCGTATATTTCCACATGCCAGCTGATTTCGTGCAGACGATATAATTCAAAGTAGGCTAATTCATGATGGCATGAAAAGGGCGATGCGTCTTTGGAATCGATATCCCCAATAAAAGCATTAGCTTCCCCCTACCCCCTTCCCCTCCCCCACGCTATATCACAAGAATAGGTTTTGATGTTATCTTTAACTCTATGCACTACATATGACGGGAGTAAAGTTCAAGTTGAGGGCTAGCTTATAAATTGATCATGACCAGATGGGCTCCTGTCACGAAACTGAAAAAAAAAAAACAGGATTCCCGGTGGTGAGATATTCTTGCACAAGGGAAGTTTAAAACCCTGAGAGCAGATACGGATATCATGCTTAACCTCAAGACAAGAACGTAAGTCTTCATCAGGAGTGCAACCACTCAGGAGAGTTGATGCGCTACAAAGAAGCTCAAAGACGCTTCAAAACGGCCTGAGACGCGGGCAAACACTAACTACAAGGCAACAAGGTAGGATTTACACAAGATTACATTAAAATAAACACTACTCGTAAGCATATAGTCACGTTCGTATCCGTTTCGTGTCATGAGTCACCTGTGGATTGCGTGGATAGTGAGTCCAGTTGCTGTCAATACTCCGATATCACGTTCCACCATCTTGGATTGCGTGCTGTACCAAAACGAGGCTGGACGGGCATGCTTTCGTTTGAAGCGTTGCGTGACAAGGGTTTTGAGTAAGATACCACGCAAATATGGCTAACGATCATTGCTGTGTAAATTGCTGTACCAACGACAAACGAAACAAAAGTGGAAAGAATTTGTCTTTTTTCAACTTTCCGTCAAACAAGACACAGAGATCTCAGTGGATTGCCGCGATAAAGCGAGATGAAGGGCCGCTTTTTAAGGTGAGTGCGACGAGCCATGGCCAGCGAGTTGTCAAACGCACAAGTTCTACTTGTGGCCGATGTTAAGAGTTTCTAGATTTAAGACTTAGTTAGCCCGCTTCCTATTCATGGAATAATTAGTCAATACATATCCAGATAAAATGCAGTCAATTATCTAACCTAGATTACTCGACTGAAGCGCTTCTGGCCAGAGCTGTCAAACGCACGTGGTTCATTCACGTGGAACCGGTTTGTTTGTTTTCATTGACTC